CTCCTGGGCTCAAGCCATCCTCCCACCTCAGCCTCCCAAGTGGCTGGGACTACAGGCACATGCCACCACACTTGGCTAATTTTTGTATTTTTTGTAGAGACGAGGTTTCAGCATGTTGCACAGGCTGGTCTTGAACTCCTGAGTTCAAGTGATCTGCCTGCCTCAGCCTCCCAAAGTGCTGGGATTACAGGTATGAGCCACTGTACCCAGCCCCGAATAAGTTTTAAATAACCAATATTTTAAAATATTTTAATAGTTACATAGCACTTTAATTAGTTTGCTGAATAATTTAGCCCAAGGGACAAGGATGTTAATGAGAAAACTGACTAGATTTCAGATCATAGATTTTAAGAGAACAAGGATCTCAAAACCAAATACCCTCTGCTTAAAGTGTTTTTTTGTGTTTTTTACTACTGAAAATGTTTAGAGATTGACTTACCTATTGCTGATATTCAAAATATCTGATATCTTAATATTTTTAAATAACTCACACTAAAAGCATATGTTCAAAATGGCAATGTATAGTCTGAGACTGGTGATTGATTTATAATATTGGTACCTAAAGAGATACTGAGATGAATAACTTATTAATTTCCTTCTTAAAATCATAATTTTGGATCTGTAAAGGACTATACAAAAAAAAAATCTAGTATTATACCTGCATTTTATAATTGTGGAAATAGAGGCCAGAAAGAATAAGAGGCAAGTTGGGGGCAGATACTGGGTTTGGATCAGCTCTTCTGACGCCTGATTGTGTGACATTACAAAGCCTGAAATTCAGCTCCAACATCTATTAAACATTTACAGAATATCAGCTGGGCGCAGTGGCTCTCACAAGGCCAGGAGTTCAAGACCAGCCTGGCCAAGATAGTGAAACCCTGTCTCTACTAAAAATACAAAAATTAGCCGGGCATGGTGGCAGGCACCTGTAGTCCCAGCTACTCTGGAGGCTGAGTCAGAGAATTGCTTAAACCTGGGAGGCAGAGGTTGCAGTGATCCCAGATCGTGCCACTACACTCCAGCCTGGCGACAGAGTGAGACCCCACCTCACACACACACAAAAAATTGCAGAGTATCTACTGTGTGTCAAGTACATTAATTACCCAAGACTACAAAGAGAAATACAATTTAGCTAATGTCCTCAAGAAGCTAACAGTATACTAAAAGAGATATGTAGGCATCAATTATAGTAATGACATAACATATTCTAATAGAGGTATGTACATAACACAGTGGGCATGGCTAGTTGTCTTTGTTTCTGCTGTTAAAACAGAATATCACAGATTGGGTGATTGATTGATTGATTGACTGACTGATTGAGGCAACTCTGTCACCCAGGCTGGAGTTCAGTGGCATGATCACAGCTCACTGCAGCCTCAACCTCCCTGGATCAAGCAATTCTCCTGCCTCAGCCTCCTAAACAGCTGGAACTACGGGTGTGAGCCACCATGCCCCACTAATTTTTAATCTTTTTTTTTTTTTTTTGTCTGAGACAGTCTGAGTCTGTTGCCCAGGCTGGAGTGCAGTGGCACAATCTCAGCTCACTGCAACCTCCACCTCCCAGGTTCAAGCAGTTCTACCTCAGTCTCCTGAGTAGCTAGGATTACAGGCATGTGCCACCACGCCCGGCTAATTTTTGTATTTTTAGTAGAGACGGGGATTCACCATGTTGGTCAGGCTGGTTTCGAACTCCTGACCTCGTGATCCGCCCGCCTCGGCCTCCCAAAGTGCTGGGATTACAGGCACAAGCCGCCGCGCCCAGCCAATTTTTAAAAACGTTTTATAGAGACGGGTCTCACTATGTTGCCCAGGCTCATCTCAAACCCCTGGGCCCAGGCGCTCTCCCACCTTGTCCTCCCAAAGTTCTGGAGTAACAGATGTGAGCCAACACACCAGGCCCAGACTGGGTAATTTATAAAGAAATTTACTTCTGCCCGCCCCGCCGCGGCTCCCCGCGCGGGTGGCTGAGGTGTAGTGCTGCGACCCCCGCACCCCTGGGACATGGCGCTGCGAGTTGCGCTCTGCCCGCTGAGGCCCTGGCAGCTTGGGATGGGCGCCGTCCGGCTGCTGCGCATGGGACCCGCTCTGCTCTTGGGAAGGGTTGGGAGATGTTTACTGTAGTCTGCCTGAAGTTGGGACAAAATTGAACAAACAAGATGAGTTTGGTGCTTTGGAAAGTGTGAGAGCTGCTAGTGAACTCTGTTTTCCTTTATGAAAAGTAACTGAAATTAATGAAGCTCTTGCAGAAAATCCAGGACTTGTAAACAAATCTTGTTAGGAAGATGGTTGGCTGATCAAGATGACACTGAGTAACCCTTCATAACTAGATGAACTTATGAGTGAAGAAGCGTATGAGAAATACGTAAAAATCTATTGAGGAGTGAAAATGGAACCCCTAAATAAACTAGTGTGAAATAACGCAACGCAGCAGAGTTGTCTTAAATTAGTAGTGGATAGAAGACTTAGAATAGCAACTTTTAGCATTACCGATGGGGAAAAAAAACTACTGTTTTCACTGCTAATGAAAGAAAATGCGTTTTAACTTTCTAATGATTGTAGATAAACATAATATGTGTCTGTTTCACAATATCCTATCATTCTTAGACTAAGCTTTAGTAATCAGAATTCATGAAATTATCCATGGTAAAAATTAGTTATAAAAATTACATAATTAAAAGATAACATTGTTATTTCTAAGCCTCATATAATATTGTAACTTGTGTATGTCCATACCTGGATTTGGGATTAAATACTTAATGATCTTTCCATTGGAAATAACTGGGAGTGAAGAAGTTTTTATTGCTTGTACAATGTCAGATGAATAACAACACTATCTTAATTTTGCAATACACTGCATTTGCTGGTGCTACTTTTATACAGTGAAGCAACAGCTTTGCAGCAAAATAATAAAATACTTCTTCATTAAAAAAAAAAAAAGAAAGAAAGAAAAGAAATTTACTTCTTACAATTCTGGAGGCCAGGACATCCATGATAAGGTGCCAGCATCTGGGAAGGGCCTTCTTGCTGTCCTCCCATAGCAGAAGATGGAAGGGCAAGGGAGAACCAACATGCTCCCACAAGCCCTTTTTATAATGGCATCAATCAAATTTCAGGCCAGAGTCCTTGTGACCTAATCATCTCCCAAAAGGCCCCGCCTCTCAACCCTGTTGCATTGGGGTTAAGTTTCCAACACATGAATTTTGGAGACAACACATTCAAAACATAGCATTCCACACCTTGGGCTCCCCAGATTCATGTCCTCACATGCAAAATAAATTCATTCCATCCCAATAGCCCCCAAAATGTCTTAACTTGTTCCAGCATCAACTTTAAAGTCAAAGTCCAAAGTCTCATCTAAATCAGATATGAGTAAGACTCAAGGCATGATTCATCATGAGACAAAAGATGTACATTTGCAATGTTTGTCATGTCAGACAAAACAAAAATATGTAAATATCCATCAATAGGGAACTGCTTAAAAAATTGTATACTCATAAAATGAAACATGCAGATGTTTAAACTAATGAGCTAGATCTCAATATGCTAATATGGAAAGAGCTTCAGAATGTATTAAGGACATAAATTAAGTGTACAATAATGTGTGTATATATGTATATGCTTATGTGTGTATAGAAAGTATCTCAGCAGATACAATAAAAACTTAATTGTGATTACCCCTGGATCAATTAACATGTGGTATAGTATAAGGAAATGAATTTTATACCTTGATCAAACATTTGAAAAATTTTACAATATATTGCTTTGTAATTTTTAAAAACAACATATTGTGGCCAAGTGCAGTGGCTCACGCCTGTAATACCAGCACTTTGCAAGGCAAGGCAGGCAGATCACCTGAGGTCGAGAATTGGAGACCAGCCTGACTAACATGGAGAAACCCCATCTCTACTAAAAATACAAAACTAGCTGGATGTGGTGGTGCATGCCTGTAATCCCAGCTACTCAGGAGGCTGAGACAGGAGAATCACTTGAACCCAGGAGGCAGAGGTTGCAGTGAGCTGAGATCATACCACTGCACTCCAGCCTGGGCGACAGTGTGAGACTCTGTCACACACACAAAAAATATATATATTTTTTAATATATATTATAAATATATATATATTATAATATTTCCATGAACTTCATCATGGAAATATTATAAACTTGAGTGTCCTGGATTAGAAAACATTACATGTTTCTATGAATGAAATATTTAAGTATTCAAATATAGAAATAAAGCAAACATGAAAACCATTCTTTCTGATTAGGTATGAATGGAATATACTTTTAAGAATCTAGGACTAGGCATGGCGGCTTACTGCCTGTAATCCTAACACTTTGGGAGGCCAAGGTGGGAGGATCACTTGAGGCTAGGAGTTTGAGACCAGCCTGGGCAACACAGTGAGACCCTGTCTCTACAAAAAATTTAAAAATTAGCCAGGTGTGTGGCCGGGCACGGTGGCTCATGCCTGTAATCCCAGCACTTTGGGAGGCCAAGGCGGGTGGGTCACCTGAAGTCAGGTGTTTGAGACCAGCCTGGCCAACATGGTGACACCCTGTCTCTACTAAAAATACAAAAAATTAGCTGGGCATGGTGGCAGGCATTATTACTTGGGAGGCTAAGGCAGGAGAATCATTTGAACCCAGGAAGCCAAGGTTGCAGTGAGCTGAGGTCATGCCATTGCACTCCAGCCTGGGTGACAAGAGCGAAACTCCATCTTAAAAAAAAAAAAAAGAATCATCACTAGGCAGCCAAAATTTATTTACCCAAGTATTTTCTTCAGGATTTTCTAAGAACTGGAAAAATAATAACTAAATTGACAGCAATCTTTCTCAATTATGGGAAAGTAATTGCTAATGGTAAAACAGGCACTAGAATATAGTCACCTTATTCTGAATAACTGTGCTGAAGCTGCATTCTCCCTGAGTCACGCCATCAAATTAAAGAGGTGATTTCAACAGCAGCAATGATGAACTTGAGTCAGCAATGTCCTGGGTGCTAGTTATTGTATGTATGTTTAACAGGACTTTGACTTACTAAGTCTGTGTAGCACTTAGGCTCTTTCTGAAATTTCCATACCTGCATGTTTTACAACCCATTGAAGTTATAGTTTTTCAATGATATTTCAAAATTGGGCAAAATGATCAATCTATGAGCAGGATTTGGAGCAATCATTATATCCTACACTATTTACTGAGTGGCAACATTATGAGATATTGTACACACTGATGTGTGTGTTAAGGGAGGAAGTAATGGGATCAGTTCCCCAGATTTAAATTCTGGCTCTACCACTCCCCAGCTATGTCATCTCTATTACTAATACCTACGAAATGGGGATGTTGATAATAATAACACCTACCTCATAGAAGTCTTTGGAAGACTAAATAATCTGTGTAAAGTTCTGGGCAGGAGTAAGTGCTTAATAAATGTTAGTTGTTTTTATTGCATGACACTTAAAAAAATTCTTCTGGGCCAGGCGTAGTGGCTCATGCTGGTAATCCCAGCACTTTGGGAGGCCAAGGCGGGCGGATCACCAAAGGTCAGGAGTTTGAGACCAGCCCGGCCAACATGGTGAAACCCTGTCTCTACTAGAAATACAAAAATTAGCCCGGCATGGTGGCACACACTTGTAGTTCCAGCTACTCGGGAAGCTAAGGGAAGAGAATCGCTTGAACCTGGGAGGTGGAGGTTGCAGTGAGCCCAGATCGCGCCACTGCATTCCAGCCTGGGCAACAAGAGCGAGACTGTCTAGAAGAAGAAAAAGAAAAAAAATTCCTTCTAAGAATTTCATCTTTTAAAAAGTATGAGGAGGGACACAGTGCCTCAAGCCTGTAATACCAGCACTTTGGGAGGCCAAGGCGGGAGCATCACTTGAGCCCAGGAGTTTGAGACCAGCCTGGGCAACACAGCAAGACGCTGTCTCTAAACAAAAAAGAAAGAAAGAAAGCGAACACTGAGTATTCTGTGAATTACTATGCAACCAATCTGTAATTCAGTACTAGAATATAAAGCATTAAATGACTTTTTACACATAATATATTTTGTTTTTTACACATAATATTTTATATCAAAAATTTTATTTCCAGTCAGTCAACAGTAATAATGAGAAAACCTTGATTTTAGAAACTACCTCCCAGACAGAAAGTAAGTATATAGGCCAGGCACAGCGGCTCACACTTGTAATCCCAGCAATTTGGGAGGCTGAGGCAGGCGGATCACCTGAGGTCAGGAGTTTGAGACCAGCCTCAACATGGAGAAACCCCGTCTCTACTAAAAATACAAAATTAGCTGGGGATGGTGATGCATGCCTGTAATCCCAGCTACTCGGGAGGCTGAGGCAGGAGAATTGCTTGAACCAGGGAGGTGAATGTTGCGATGAGCCAAGATCGCGACATTGCACTCCAGCCTGGGCAACAAGAGCGAAACTCCATCTCAAAAAATAAAAAAAACAAAAATTAACTGGATGTGGTGCCACACGCCTGTGGTCCCAGCTATTTTGGAGGCTGAGGCAGGAGAATTGCTGGAACTCAGGAGGTGGAGGCTGCAGTGAGCCGAGATCACGCCACTGCACTCCAGCCTGGCCAACTGAGTGAGACTGTCTCAAAAAGAAAAAAGAAAAAAAAAAAACAAAAAGAAGAAAAAAGAAAGTAAGTATATAAATATGAGATAGTACTTGAGTTATCACTTAAGGTTAAGCTACTAAAAGCAATATCCCCATATTTTGAATTACGACCTTATATCACCAATACCTACTGCAGTACCTTGCACAGATATTCAATAAGCACTTGTTCAATGAATAAATGAATAAAAAGTAAAAGCACACTTACAGCCAAGAATATGAAGAGAATGTTTACTTTTTTTTCATTTAGGTCTGGCAATGTAATTCCCAACCAGTGATCTGAATACAGGTCATATAAACTGAGCTCTCTGGACAGCAGAGTAATGCATCATGCCAAATTGTAATTGTTGCTTTTGCAACTGGTAAAAATCTGAGCTGACTGACAGATGGATTAACAAGAGTTCTTCACTGTTGCTGGAGGACAAATGAAAGTCAATATGCTACCAATGGAAGATTAATGACATTACTTTTATGGAGCTAGATAAATGTGCAAATATATTGCAAATTTTAAAAAAGTTACCCACGGCCGGGAGTGGTAGCTCACGCCTGTAATCCCAGCACTTTGGGAGGCTGAGGTGGGCAGATCACCTGAAGTGGAGTTCGAGACCAGCCTGGTCAACATGGTGAAACCCCATCTCTACTAAAAATGCACACACACAAAATAGCCAGGCACAGTGGCTCATGCTTGTAGCCCCAGCTACTTAGGAGGCTGAGGCAGGAGAATTGCTTGAACCCGGGAGGCGGTGGTTGCAATGAGCCAAGATCGCATCACTGCACTCCAGCCTAGATGACAATAGCAAGACTGTCTTGGGAAAAAAAAAAAAAAGCTACTCACTGGAATAAGAAGGAAGAGTAAAAAGAAACATGTTATTTAAGGGACATTTTACCTTTGCCTGATTTATGTGGACTGATTGTCTTATTAGTCTAAATATATTCATGTGGTAGGCAGAATAATGGCTCCCAAAAGTGCCCATGTTCTAATTCCCTAAACCTGTGAATATGTTACCTCAGCTGGCAAGACGGATTTCTGTAGATGTGATTAAAGTAAGGATCTTAAAATGGGGAGATGATCCTGGAGTATCTGTGTGGGCCCAATGTAATCAGAAACATCTGTATGAGAGTGAGGCAGGAGGATCAGAGGTAGCAGATTGGAAGATTCTATGCTGTTGGCTTTAAAGATGGAAAAAGGAAACATGAGCCAAGGAATGCAGTTAGCTTCTAGAAGCTGGAAAAAGCAAGGGAATGGATTCTCCCATAGCCCCCAGAAGGGATGCAGGCCTTTTGAGATCTTAATTTTAACCCAGTATAACCCATTTCAGATTTCTGTCCTCCTGACCTGTAAGACAAAAAATTTGTTTTATTTTAAGTTACTCAATTAGTGGTAATTTGTTAGAACAGCAAGTGGAAACAAACTCATTAATCTGCATCTAACCTATGAAGATGCTGATTTGAGATAAGATAGTAAATGGGTGTTGTTGTAAGTTGCTAGGCTTGAGGTAATTTGTTACAGCAGCAATATAAAACTATACGACTGGTGGCCAGGCCCAGTGGCTCACACCTGTAATCCCAGCACATCGGGAAGCTGAGACGGCAGGATGGCTTAAGCCCAGGAGTTCAAACTCAGCATGTGCAACATAGTGCAACCCATCTCTACAAGAAATAAAACATTAGCTAGGTGTGGTTATGCATGACTGTAGTCCCAGCTATTCAAGAGGCTGAGGTGGGAGGATCACTTGAACCCACGAGGTGGAGGCTGCAGTGAGCTGTCACTGCCCCACTGCACTCCAGCCTGGGCAACAGAGCAAGATGCAGTCTCCAAAAAAAAAGGGGGGGAGAAAGAAAGAAAGAAAACAAAACTACACAAACTGTCTGTAATAACACATTTTGACATCATGTACTCCCTGATAGGACATTATGTCTGAGATTCTTGCCAAAAATGTATTAACTCATCTAATCATGGGAAAACATAAGACAAGCCCAAACTCAGAGACAGTGTACCAAGTAACTGACTAGAACTCTTCAAAAATGTCAAGGTCATGAAAGACAAGGAAAGATGAACTCTCCGGAAGAGAAAAAGGACAGTAGGTCGAATGTAGTGGCTCATGCCTGTAATCCTAGGACTTTGGGAGGCTGAAGCAAGGGGATCGTTTGAATCAAGGAGTTCAAGACCAGCCTGGGCAACACAGCAAGACCCCATCTGTACTAAAAAATAAAAAATAGCCAGGTATGGTGATTCAAGTCAGCAGTCCCAATTACTTGAGAGGCTGAGGTAGGAGGATCACTTGTGTCTAGGAGTTCAAGGCTACAGTGAGCTGTGATTGTGCCACTGCACTCCAGCTTGGGCAACAGAGGGAGATACTGTTTCAAAAAAAGAAAAGAAAAGAAACAAAAGAAAAAAGAAAAAGAACGTTAGTGGGAAACTGGTGAAATCTGAATATGTCTGTACTTAACAAGATGACAATAAAATATACTTGAATTATTTCTCTCTAGAATTGGGCTAGTCTGTGTAATCTTAAGCAATTCACTTGCTAATACTTGTTTTTTCCAATTGTTAAGATGAAAAGTGTCTAATGTGCTTTAAGATTCTTAGCTGAAATAGTAACAGTTATGTTGCTTACTGTTTTCATTTTAATAATTCTATTTTCCTTTAAGATAGCTTAATTTTGGAAGAGTTAGTGTGCTTCAAAAGACTTTTTTTTTTTTTTTTTTTTTTTTTTTGAGATGGAGTCTCACTCTGTCGCCCAGGCTGGAGTGCAGTGGCGCAATCTCGGCTCACTGCAAGCTCCGGATTCAAGAGATTCTCCTGCCTCAGTCTTCCCAGTAGCTGGGATTACAGGCGCACACCGCCACGCCCAGCTAATTTTTTGTATTTTAGTAGAGATGGGATTCACCGTGTTGCCCAGACTGGTCTTGAACTCCCGAGCTCAGGCAATCCACCCACCTTGGTCTCCCAAAGTGCTAGGATTACAGGCGTGAGCCACCGCGTCCGGACTGCTTCAAAAGACTTAACATGCAGTCGGCAAGGTGGCTCATGCCTGTAATCCCAGCACTTTGGGAAGCCGAGGCGGGCGGATCACTTGAGGTCAGGAACAACCTGACCAACAAGAAGAAACCCCGTCTCTACTAAAAATACAAAATTAGCCGGGCGTGGTGGCATGTGCCTGTAATCCCAGCTACTCGGAAGGCTGAGGCAGGAGAATCGCTTGTACCCGGGAGGCGGAGGTTGTGGTGAGCCAAGATTGCGCCATTGCACTCCAGCCTGGGCAACAAGAGTGAAAGTGTCTCAAAACAAAAACAAAACAAAAACAAAATCAAAACAAAAACAAAAATCTTAACATGCCTCAACATTATAATAATTTCGATGCAATAGTACAGATTAATGAACGTAAATATATGCTGGGCGTGGTGGCACATGTCTATAATCCTAGCTACTTGGCAGGATTGCTTGAGCCCAGGAGCTCGAGAGCAGCCTGGGCAACATATTGAGACCCTGTCTCTACAAAAAAACAAAAAATTAGCCAGGCCTAGTGGAGCACCTGTGGTCCCAGCTACTCACTGCTTAGGAAGCTGAAGTGGGAGGATCACTTGAGCCTGGGAGGTCGAGACTGCAGTGAGTCAAGGTCTGTACTCCAGCCTGGACAACAGAGCACGACTCTGTCAAAAAAGAAAAAAAAAGAAAAAGAAAAAAAGTGAGTCATTGAGTTCTTTTTTGTTTTTTGAGACGCAGTCTTGCTCTGTCACCCAAGCTGGAGTGCAGTGGCTCGATCTTGGCTCACTGCAGGCTCCGCCCCCCAGGTTCACACCATTCTCCTGCCTCAGCCTCCCGAGTAGCTGGGACTACAGGCACGTGCCACCTTGCCCGGCTAATTTTTTGTATTTTTAGTAGAGACGTATTTTCACCGTGTTAGGATGGTCTCAATCTCCTGACCTCATGATCTGCTCACCTCGGCCTCCCAAAGTGCTGGGATTACAGGCGTGAGCCACCACGCCCGGATGATTCATTGAGTTCTGTACTGAAAGACAGGATAGTTGTATGGTTACCATGGTAAAGTTGAAAAATCCTAAATCAAATCATAGTAAATCAGGGGCCATCTGTACTAAATTGTCCAATTTTTTTTTGTTTTTTGAGACGGAGTCTTGATCTGTTGCCCAGGCTGGAGTGCAATGACACGATCTTGGCTCACTGCAACTTCCGCCTCCCGGGTTCAAGCAAGTCTCTGGGTTCAGCCTCCCAAGTGGCTGGGAGATTACAGGTGCCTACCACCATGCCCAGCTAATTTTTGTATTTTTTGTAGAGACGTGGTTTCACCATGTTGGCCAGGCTGGTCTCGAACTTCTGACCTCAGGTGATCCACCTGCCTCAGTCTCCCAAAGTGCTGGGATTACAGGTGTGAACCACCGTGTCCGACCCAATCTTCCTGCCTCAGTATCCAGGTGATGGGATTATAGGCATGAGCCTCTGCGTCCAGCCAACACTTCATTGTAAAATGACTTTGTGTTTGATGATTCTGCCAAATTGTAGGCTATTGTAAGTGTTCCAAGCTCATTTAAGGGAGGCTAGGCTAAGCTATGATGTTTGGTGAATTAGGTACATTAAATGCATTTTTCACTTAATATTTCCAATTCGCAATAGGTTTATCATGATGTGACCTCAAAACACCTGTACGTTGTGGAGGCTTTTCATTATTGGTTTGGTGTTTGCTTTTTGCTTTTATTTCAGAATAAGGAGTTAGCATGTGTGGTATAGTAAGAAATATATATATATATAT